GATCTCATCATCAGGCTTAACTATAATATTTATAAGCTTACAAATAAAAAATCAAATATAAACCAATCATGGTGTTTTGTCTATAGGATAATACGATGGTGAATATAAATTGTGCGTTTAGTCATAATAGTAGTAATGATAATAATAATGGTTTTATCAATAATAAGGATGAAAAAGTGAAGCAATCTGTGATAACAAGAATAATGAAAAAACAGTATGATTAAACAAACAACTGTTCAGGTGGAAGTAGTCGATAAAGGCTAGTAAGAACAAATGAATCGATTAAGTAATTTTAGATTGTAAGGGAAGGAAATGAAACACGTTTATAATGAAGATAAGATTAAGGGATGATAAGAAAGGGGTTGAAAATATAAACAAAGGGTGGTGTAGAAGTGATTAGTTGGTTATGTCTTAATAGGCCAAGGGAGGGATAATAGCTGTACGAACTTTTTCTTCAACCTTCCTGTTCTCTACCCCAACCCGATTTAATTCCTATACTTCATTACCACTGTTACTGACTTGACTAACCGTCAATTTCTAGTCATTTATGTTACGTCATCTAACTTATTTGCTCAATTTTAGTTATAATTTAAATGGCATTATTCTCTACCCCACTTCTACTTAGTCTCTACCTGTAATTACCTCTGTTATTACCCTGACCTAAGTTGAAACATTTTAGTCATTTATATTACGTCATCTAACTTACTAACCCAATATTTCTTTAGTTGCTGTCCGATTAACCTGAAATTAGATCATTCTTGTATAACCTAATTAATTGTCTGAACTTGACAAGCCTCATGTACACACACACAAATAGTTATATATAAATGCGATTGTACAGCTATGTGAATGAATTCGCCGTCGAAAAGAGTCTCTTCGCTGAACGTTTTCTCTTCTTCATATTAAATATACCCCACAGTAAAATTTATAAAAACACATGCAAGCGAAGAATATTATGCTTTCAATTAGATCTCATAAGGCTTACTTAATTAACTCTAATATACCCACGTATAACTTTACAAATAAATATTCAAATATGTAAACCAGTCACGGTGTTTTGTCAATAGGATAATAAGATTGTGCACATAAATTGTGCATTTAGTCAATAATAATAATACAATCAATAACAAGGATGAAAGAATGAGGAGATCTGGGATAACAAGTATAATGAAAAACATCACGATTAAACAAACAAATATTCAGGTAGACGTAGTAGTCGATAACGGCTAAGAAAAACAAATGGTCCGACCAAGTAATGCTAAATTGTAAGGAGAGTAGGTAGTTTGTTTTAATGAAGATTTGATAAGATTAAGGGATGACAAGAGAGGGATTGAAAATACAATAAAGGGATGGTTAGAAGTTTTAATAGGCCAAGGGAGGGATAATTGCTGTACGAACTTCTTTTGAATGTATAGTTAAGGCTTAATATGGTTCGAATGTCTATCGCCTCAGCTGTATATGTAGTAGGTGAATACAAAGTCCATTGGAAAGATTCAGTGGGAAACGATGAATCACCTTGATTGCTTTCGTTTCCTCCAACAAATGACCATTATCAACTAAAAGTGACAAGATCGAGCTACGGATAGTAGGTAATTGTTCTGCCTTTACCAAACCACATTAGATGTTCAGTAACACGTTGGTTCAGCTGTCCAGTAGTACGCCCAACATAGCAACTGTCACCGCAGGAGTAGTTGAATTGATAAATACACATAGATGTGTCATAGACGTGCGTCGGTGGCACAGTGGTTAGGACTCTCGCCGACCATGCACATGGTCCGGGTTCGATCCCCTGCCAACGCACACCCGATATCTATGGTCGGCCTGTAAATTTGGGCTACCGATATCCATGCTGAAAATTCCATACTTGTACTGAAAATACGGTGTGGCATCAAGCTGTAATCAAAATAAAATAAATAAAAAAACTATCTAGCTCGTCATTCGTTTGAGTCCCAATCATCCTATTGACAAATCACCATGATTGCCTTACAGTTCAATATATATTTGTAAAGTTATGCATATTAGAGTTAGGCCTGATGACATCTAACTTGAAAAAATATTGTTAGCCTCAAGATATCTATAGATAACCAACCCAACGAATTACAATTATCGAGGTAATTAGTTTGGGCATATAATCATGCCAATGGGTGGGATAGGGTGAAGAACGTATTAAGAAGTAATATAGTTAGTTGGAGACGCAGAGGTTAGTTTTCAAGAATTTATTCGTAGGGATTTGATTTGTCTCAAGTTTAATCACGGATTGATATCAGTTAGAGAACCTGTGAAAACCAGGGAGTATTGGATATCCGTTTCGTCCTAGTTTGGGACTCATCGGCAACACGCGCCTATTAGGACGAAGTTGTCTGACATTTTAATGAGAAGTCGTGACCTGTGGGGTTCACCAGGTCTTGAGTGATGACAGCGACCACACTAGGTCATGTCAGTCGCGCTAAGAGAAGTCATGAATCGACAGAAGTTAGAATTCATGGGCTGGTTAGGCCACTGAAGAGTCGGGTGCCAGTGGCTGAATGGTCTACGAGTCAGCTTGATTTGTAACCGGAAGGTCCTGGCTTCGAACCTTGGTTCGAGTGCTGATTTTGAGTGGTTCTCTAACAGAGGGGTTAATCACCAAATCTTTCATCATCGAATCAACAGCAAAACATGCTCAATAAAAATGACGCAACATTAATCCCGGATATTGGAGAGTAAGACTATATAAAGCAAATTATGAAATCGTGTGAAGCATACAATGATATGATTATGAGTAGTAAATTGTGTTTGGATCGTTTTCCGGTCGTTAGTACTGTGTCACCATGTATTACATCAAACATACTTGTCTAATATGAAATTCTTGGTAGTTTTCTGGCTAAATGAAGTACCCCGCCCTCAGTCGAAAAATCACTTCCAAGAAGAGTTGCATTTGAATGACACAGTCTAAGCTACAATCACTTTGTGAAAGTTGTAATCGCTTGAAGTAATTCGGTGAATAGTGACTAGGAACAGAATCCAGGATGCACATTTCGTCCTTTTTGGAATTACTCGTCAACTGGATGTATCGGCAATCTTCGGTGGGTAATAGTATTCCCAGTGAGGCTTGGATCCGGTACCTATTGTTTCAAACGCTAAGGCGTTATCCACTAGACCACTTGGGTCACAAGAGCACCGTCTTGTGCAATGGGTATCAGTTATTAGTTAATTCAACTTGGACTTTCCCACTGTGTGAGTGGACCGAAGTTCTCAGCCGCTCTGTTGACATTTCAGCTCCTTGTGAGGATGGTTCGATGATGTGTACGGATATAAAATAAAGTAATCTGGTGAATGGTAATGAGTCCCAAATATGACAAAATGCGCATTCTGACTTCCACTGCTAGTCGTGATCCTCCAAAGGATGCAGTGAGTTATTTTCAAAAGAAGCAAGAAGATTCCATGATTTCTATTAAATAAGAAGTAGCCTAGTGAATAACTTCACAGAGTTTAAACTCGAAAAGGTGGTTGGAGTAACAACACTCAATAAGATGTAATAACCTTAAATGAAAAGAAATTTTCAATGCAGAAATTCAGATTGTCACACTTCATAGAGGAACTATAATAACAAAAATAACTATGCTAGAGGAAGAATAATTACATGAAGATTAATGAGAATTTAATGTACACGGGAGTAAATACGTCTGCACTATTATGAGTGATTTTGAGTTATGTCAACAACAGTATGCAGCCATTCCATCTTAGCGTCTCGACGACCTTAATCTAGGCAGTCTACACCTCTCTGTAGATGGCGGAAAGCAAAAGTCAGTTGACTTCATGGATTGATACTCTATTTCAGTTTAACTACCCGTAACCTCCTTTACCTACCTGGGAAGCATCCTTTCAACTACAGGCGGATGGAACTGACGAGGATATCAAAGTGAGGATCAGGAAAGCAAGGCATGCTTTCATTACTCTCAAGTCTGTGTGGAGGTCAACAGCACTCAGCATCAAAAATAAAATCCGGATTTTCAACTCCAATGTGAATTCAGTGATAATATACGGATCAGAGACTTGTCGCGTCACGAAGGGCATTTCGAACAAACTACAAACTTTCATCAACAGCTGTCTTCACTCAATACTCAAGATCAGTTGTCCAGAGAAGATCAGCAACAGGGATCTCTGGCAATGAACGAACTAACCCAGTATGAACCGATTGTGCCAAAAACATGCAGAAAGATATGGAGGTGGATTGGCCATACTCTGAGAAAACAAACCATCAAGTAAGCAACATCACACGCCAGACCATTGCTCGAGTGAAACATGGATGGGAAGCTGAGAGTTGGTCGTCCAGGGTCATTTGAAGAGGAGATGAAAGTATGTGGGCAGACGTAGATCTAGGTGAAAACGTTGGCAGAGAAGCAAACGCAATGGAGAGGTGCGGCTGAAGCCCTATGTTCCTCTAGGAACTAAAGGAAACAATAATAATAATAACTCTTTACCAACCTAATCCTCTGCCAGCTGAAACACCAGTCATTTAGGGAGGCGATCGTTTAGCATCGTGTGGCACTCATCCTAGCCATCTCAATCGATACAAGTTCACACAACCTGACCGACTGATTTCTTTCCCTTCTTGTCTGACCTAATTGTACCATTTGACACGAACGATCGAATTCAAACACACACCTACTCACATACACACACACTCATGGTCAAAAAAGCTATCCTCAAGTCTCCCACTTTTAGTGGCTATGTCTGGGAGACGTAGATAGGAGGGACAGAGAGAACTACTACTGTGCAGTACACACATCCTCAACAGGCTAATGTTGCTGTTGTCTTCCATTTCAATGTTACACAAACCATTATGTAAAGAAAGAAAAGCTCTTTGTTCAACCAGACATTTTATATTACTATTTTAAATGAATAATAGCATAATTGCATATTGCTTTTACGGAGGAGGAAAACAAAACGGTAACACAATAAACAGTGTAAGACAAAAAAAAAAAAAAAAAATTGGCAAACATGATTCTGTTATTTCTCTCTTTTCTCAATAATGGTTTATTTTCTCATCCATTTCGGTATTTCTTTATCACGATTCGATATATCATCTATCGTAGTTGTAAACTTTTTCATTACACAGTCAATTTGACTAACAAATCCTGGGAAGTTAGGATCAATTAAACACAAACGTATCAGACCGTCTAAACTTTGTGTTGGCCATTCAGTTGACCAACTTTCAGGCAGTTGTGCTTGATTAGTTAACATTGAGTTCAGGATAGCCTCTATTGTGACAGGATCGGCAGAAATAGCAGTAGGAGTAGCAGTAGTAGCAGTTGTGGCGTTCTTTGTCGTCGCCATCATTGTCATCGTCTTCATCTCCTTATCAGTGTTATTATTATTATTTATTGATTCTGCATTCTGAGCTTCATTCACTTCATTAGATATATTGGTAGCAGCAAATTTTGATAAACTGACAAAGAAGTTATTAGCATCAGTTTCATTGAAAAATGTTAAACGGAAACGTTTGATTTGACTTGGTTGTTTCAGCAATATCATCACTTCATCTCCACCTATATTATGATAATAATAATAACGATAATAATAAACTTTATTCCGGACAAAGTGTTTACACAGTGTACAGAATTGTAGATATTAAATGGTTGGAGGCAGTTGACAGGAAACCCAGCTTGACCCAGGTGTCGTGTTTGTTGGTACGATCACCCATCAGCAAGGTGTATCTGTAACCTTGAAGGAACTCATGTCCCTCCTGAGATTCGAACCTGCGTCACCCGCTGCTGCAATAAGTCAGAGACGTTACCACTGAGCAGTTTGACCTCCCGTAGTACTGTATTGGATACTTTGATTGGACACTAGTGTAACGGCAGAAGACAAGGGCCAGGCAACAGATAGTTTATTTACGAAATCAACAGATATTTATAGATTTTCATGTACATTATTATAGATTATTGTAAGCAAACAAACACAGTCTTCTGATTGGTGGTTTCTCGCTGAAAGTTAATCTTTCATCTCTTTCTGACTGTTTCTTGAAGTTCAGATTATCTACCTGCAGATTGTATCCACCTACGCAAAGTCTGCTGTGGTTGGTTGCTGAATCAGTCTTTGTTCTAATTTTTCTCACGACCAATATTGGGGACGTAAAGATTGACGTAAATTACTGTCTACCAATTTTAGGGCTAGCAGCCAGCTGTCACCACACTAGTAGCTGGTGTGATGTGTCTAGTCCTTTGTTTGGTGCAGGTCCAAGGCTTCCTGCCGATTGCCTCCAACTATCTAATATCATCAAATCAATGTGCACCGTGATGGCGAGCCACCTAGAATGGTGGCCACATTGCAAACCTGACTGATAAAATTCAGTCTGCGCTAAAGTAGAGGACTAAACACAGTGCACTAATTACTGACTAGTGTTTAATCAAAATAATAAGCGCTATTCAGGATTTGGAGGGAAAATATCATCCTGATGAGTGCCTTAAATTCAACTCTAACTGGTAACTCCTAAAATTAAACATAATTCGACTCTGATCCCAAACCCCAGCACCCAACTCTAAACAATAACCATTTGGATGAATACCTACACTCCTATGAGGAACAAGGTTTCATTCTAGGAAAATATTAAAACATTTTATCCCTAAAAATACAATGTTTTTCGAATTTTAACAAGAAGTGATTTCAGTCAAAGGACCACTGGAAACCAGGAACTACTAAACAGCTATTTCGTCCTACTTTGAGATTCCTCAGTAGTATTTAATCATGAACACATCGGGAATTGGACCCAAGGCGTTTAGGTGAGCTGGTTGTTCGTTCGGCTACTGGGGTGCAATCCAAATGGCCCATAAATTCTAATTTCTGTTAATCTGCGAGATATATGACTCAACAACCAGCGATTGTCATTGACGATTTTCCTTTAAAATTTAACGAAAACTAGTAGAAGTTAGTATTCATGGGTAATTGGATCCCGTCTCAGTAGCTGAATGTTCAATGGGATGGTCTGAAGGTTTTTCCTTCAATCCATGGCGATGGAGACATGGATGCGTACTGATGAACTAGAACCGGGATAAAATATAGTTTATCTACTACTTGATTCAGCTCAGTACAGCAATTTCATTTCTCGGTTTATTCACAGATTGTAAAAAAACCACTTGAGTTCTCACTTTGCATTCAGATGATAATAGACAGTAATATCAGGCTTCAGTCATTTATCGACTGCTCCCTTCGATGACTGCATATTCAAGATCAAATCGCTGGTCAGAAAGAATTGGCGACGAGGAACTCCAGGAATGAATCAATCAAAAACCTATCACCCGAAAATTATGCCCTAAGGAAATTGAGATGAGCTGGATACAAGCTGAGGAGGTGGTCGAATGACATCGCACGTCAGGCTAGCCCACAAGTGGAACCCGAATGGGAAACAACGAGTTGGGCGTTCGTTCAACAGTAACAGTGAGGAGATCGTGTGAGTAGAAGATGAGAACACGTCAAGATGCAGACGTAATCCTTAAGCACCATATGTTCCACTCAGAAGCCAAGTAAATGATAATATCAGTATATCCTAGGAATTCACAGTCATTAGAATGAGAAAACATTAATAACCTTTATATTACACTTAAAAGTGGTATAAAAACCCACTCTCGCCGCTACCAGTCGTAAAAATGCACCTCTGGATTAGAGAAACAGTCTTCTGTATTACTAAGGTCAGTATCTAATTCTTACAAGTCTCAGTACTCCAGTAGTAGAGTACTTTTCAGCTACGCACATCATTCGGGTTAGGTTCCCAGCAGACGGAGTCCTAAACCTCTCCTGCTTTACTAACTGGAAGTAAGTCTAGAAAAGTATTTAGGCTGGATGTGGAGCTAGCAAACCACCCTCCCCTTAACTCACTAGTGTGTTCTACCCGGAACTTAAAGGAATAAAACAGTTTTACCCTAACGATACGCGTCGATGTTCAAGTGGTAGAACGCTTGCCAACCATGTCTCACGTGGTTCGGGGATCGATCTCGGCCGACAGACTTACTCCTAGACCTCCCTAAACCATTAATAATCCCGGTAAAGAGGGGAGGTTGGGCATGAGGTGAATAGCAACCGTAGCCAATAAAAATTAAAACCACTGCTAGTGAAACTCTTTAGCTCTGGGCTGAACACCTATGCTCAACTTGGAATGTAAAGAAACAAAAAAGGCAATAACATCCTTACAACATTGACGAGTCACAATTGCGACGAAACAAACAGTGTAACACAGGCATGTATATATATACAATAAACCTACCAACAATAACTGCCTTCATCCATTTTTTCGATAAAATTAAAAAGTAAGATTCAAGTATCATTCTACCACGTAGAATACACATATGTCCAAAACCAGCTAAACGTATTGTCAACTTTATTTCATGTTGATCTGTCCATGTCTCCCATTCATTCTGTGATTGCTGTTGTTGTTGCTGTTGTTCCGGCTGTTGTTGTTGTTGCGACTGAGACTTTTGTTCCGCCATCACAACATCCTGTGAACAACTTGATGTCAATTTCTGCATTTCACCTGTAGGATTCTTTTTTTGTTTCGAATCATTCTGTTCACATTTTTCACAATGACGACTAAGTGACTTTAGCTGCCATTCTTGTGATTCATAAAAATTACCCAACTGACGTTTATTTGTTTTAAGTGTTGCAAATATGCTGTTAAAACGATTACTATTATTATTATTATTACTATTATTAATATTTCTATTGTGATTATTAATACTGTTGTAATTAGTATTGAAGTCTGCTTGTTGAGTTGATGCAGCTAAAGGTGGTTGACTCCCTGTAAAGCGATATGGATTCGCCTGTTGGATATAAAAGATAACAAGAAAAAACGTGTAAAAATCAATAAAACATCATATTAATCAATATTTATGATATAATTTGACTAGTAGTTAGACACTTTAGCTCAGTGTGTATTGACTCTTGAGAAACAAAAGAAGGCACAGTCAAACTTAACAAAAAGGATAAAAACCTCGTCATCACAAAAGCTGATAACTGAAACTCTACAGCAGTTTTGGATAAATCTGATTATATAAAGAAAGTCACTGAACACATTGAAACGGGTCCATATGAGGAAATTAAGAAGCCTGTAGATAGAGTCATGAATAAGATTAGGTAATCTACAGCGGATTTAGTACGTAGTATGAAGCTGTCATTGGGTGAGTCTAAATAGTTCAGTTTAATGCCTAAACCTAATAACGCTAGCAGAATATATGGTACTATAACAATAAATAAAGCAGGTTACCCCATAAGACCAATAGTAGATTTTAGAAATACGCAGACATATGAATTATCAAAACATTTAGCTCTAATACTATGTCCCATTAGAAATCGTTCAAACTCTAGACTAACTGATTAATTCATATGAAATGAAAAATAAACTAAATGACATTCAACTAGGGAATGATGAAACAATGGTTAGTTTCGATATAACTAGTCTTTATACTAATATATCAATCAATATGGCCTTCGAAGCGGTTAAAGGAGAACTAGCTTCTGATCCCGAACTTAGTCATAGGACAAAGCTGCCCATTGAGAAAATTATTTTAGGAATTCAGTTATGCCTGACATCTACTATCTTTAAATTTCAGGGCAAAATGTATAGACAAACAGAAGGTGTAGCAATGGGATCACCAATATCCCCTATCGTAGCAGATATCTTCATGGACAGCTGGGAAAATATTGCTCTAAATACATTTAATCCTTCTCCAAAAATATGGTGGAGATATGTGGATGACACTTTCACAGTGTTAAAAACAGAACATATCTCTAGCTATTTTTTTTTGATTGTTACTGACTAGTGTGCAATCAAAAATATCCAATACAGTCCTACAGGAGGTCAGTCGCGAGCCTGAATAGCTGAGTGGTAACGTCTCTCACTGCAGCACTGGGTGACGCGGGTTCGAATCTCAGAAGGGACATCAGTTCCTTCGAGGTTGCAGATACGCCTTGCTGATGAGTGCCAACTAGCACGAAACCTAGGTCAGGTAGGGCTTCCTTCCGATTGCCTCCAACCATCTAATACCAACATATCTCTAGCTTCTTGATGCATATAAACTCACTAGTGAAGGGAATAAAATTCATATTTGAATCAGAAAATGAACAAGGAGAATTAGCTATGATTATAGATTGTAAAATAAAACGAACGGAAGAAGAAGGTAAACTGTACACTAGTGTTTGTAAAAAAACCGAAGCAATCTCCTAATAAATATTTATACTTCACTTCATCTCATCCGTTCGTTATCTGTGAAGGCTGGCTTAGTTAAGTGTCTAAGAAACTGAGCAATAGCATTAAGTAGTACAAAAAACACCTAAATGATGAAATAAAACAGATAGAAGAAGCATAAAACTTGGGTACTGTGGTAGAGTATAACTGCATTATGGATAAGATTTCATTTTGATAAATCACACAGTGTTATACAGTAATATTAACTGACGACGTTTCGAGCACAAACTATTGCTGTTGATATGATTGCAAGCAATAGTTTGTGCTCGAAATGTCATCAGTTAATATTACTGTATAACACTGTGTGATTTATCAAAGTAAAATCTTATCTATAATAGAGTTATACTCTACCACAGTGCCCAAGTTTTATGCTTACAACAGAGAGTACTGGATAGTTGTTTCGTCCTAGTTTGGGACTCTTCACAGCATGTACCATTGAAAGGAACAGGGATAGGTTTCCTGGGAGTTACCATGAGAAAATGAAACCTGTTAGCTCCGACAAATAGGATATTAGTAAAAACACTCGCTGATAACATTGGTGGGGCTGGTGATGCTGTATATCGCCTGTCAGAGGAAGTTTGAATTCTTGAGTCACTGCATAGTGGCTTGTTCAATTCGTAACTTGAGTTCGACCCAAGTTGGGTGCAGGTGGTTTGAGCTAATTAGGCTCTGAGCTGAGTCAAATCGAGTACACTGCTGATGAGCTCGGTCCCCAACAGGCGAAACATTCGTCTGGTGTTTTATATAAATATGCTTAACTAAGTGTTATAAGACTGTTTTGAAATATTTATTTGTTTTTATCGAATCAATTGAAGAGAGTACGTGTAATAGGAATAACTCAACCCCAGTCCACTGGGACATCTGGAAAATTCTACTTCTCCTATAAAAGATAGGAAAGAATAAAGGGAACTATAGTGTGTCAGTGGCATAGCGGTTAGGACGCTCGCTGACCATGCACATGGTCCGGGGTTCGATCCACGGCCGGCGCACTCCTTTACCTCGCTCGCTAAGCCAGAACTAGAAAAGCTGGTAAAGACAAAAAGTTGGGCATGTGGCTAGCAACCCCATCCTGTAAAAGTAAACACTGCTACAGAAACTTCAAGCCACTAGCTTGAAGCTCTATGTTCCACTGGGAACGTGAAGAAATAAAGATAAAACGAAAGTTTCTGAGTTGTATGGTTATAATTGGCGATATGATTATGAACAATAATGAACTGTGTTCGAAACCTTGACATCCAGTAAACAGTGATACTGTTTGATATATCCATCTAATAAACAAATTAATATTGGAATGGATATTTTCAGTGAGACTGTTAGTAGCTGTTCGTTGGTGTGAATCAGTGTTAGCTTGTATTTAAAATCATGGCTGTAATCTCTGATGTTTAAGGCAGTGATCCGTATAGAATTTAAACTTCCTTTTAGGATATGGAAAGTATTGGGTTGTAGGGGGTTTAGACTGATTTCAGGGTAGACTCCAAAAGTGCACTGATATTAATTTGAGAACCACTGAGAAAAATGAGGAACTCGGCATTTGTTTCATTCTAATTTGAGACTTTTAAGCACTATACACCTGTAACGCCATTAACAGTATTGATTGGAAACTATGATTGTCAGGTGACGAGACAAGTCCTTCGACTCTACAACTGACGTGTTGAAATCAAATGACTCATCAGTCCTAACTTCTGTAAATTCGTGATATATATATATATATATATATATATATATATATTGAAATAATCCAGAAAAAATTCAGAAATCACAAAGAACATCTCACTTCATATCAAGTGGAATCCAAATTGTTTGAATAGGAATGATGGACTAAAACAGAATCTGACCTGGATACAACACCTCCCTCCCTCCCCCATGAAGTGACAAAATCAACATGAATGTGATATGCAAGTTCACTATGTAAACACACACTGCTTTTATAATTTTACACACCGATCAAATCCAACAATCTACACTTGGTTTAGTTATCTTTACCAATTGACCAACTTGACAACGAAAAATGACCCCAGAATGACAAACGATGATTAAGTTAGTAAACTTTATTTTGATATCATAACAGACATACTATTACCTTTGTTATTTAATTTAGTGATCTTCATTGTTATTTTTACTTTCAGTGTGTCCTTTTAACTTGACCTAACTTGTCTATTTTCTCACCTCTTAACTCTTTTTTATATATATGCTGAGTGGATTTTGTAAATTCCGGTTTAATAATACTTTGATAAAGCTATTAGCATTAAATAGAGAAACGTCAGTAAAAGCAATATCGTTTTGTTTTTCATTCATTGGGAAATACAAAAACCTTCATTATAATGAATATCATATACCCAATGCCCAACTAGCACGAAACCTAGGTCAGGTAGGCCTTCCTTCCGATTGCATCCAATCATCTAACATCCCCAACTCTTTCCCAACCTAACCCTATGTCAGCTAACAGTAGTCGACAAAAAGGGCGATGACTTGAGACACGTGTTACGTGTCTTAACCATCTCACAACTGATTTAGCTTCACAACCTCATCGATTGACTTCCCTTCCTTACCTAGCACTAGTCTACGCTAAAATTCACTATTACTTGCCCTATTATACCACTTAACACGGGAGATAGAACGCAAACATTTATGGTTAAAGAAAGCTAGTCTTTTCACATCTTCCACTTTCAATGGCCATACCTCACAGACATAAAGGAGGACACAGCGAATCGCTCCGCATTACACATGTCCTTTGATCGACAGCAGGATATCACGTCTACGCTAGAGATAACTTAAGTTACCAAATACCACACAAACTGCTGCATACAATTAGTATGGCTAATACCATATTAGATAAGTTTGTCTTAAATAGCACACACACACAGTGACGCAATATTAACAAGTGGATGACGTTTCGAGCACAAATTATTGCCACTCCGAATCATGTCAGTTTAGTCAGACAACTTCACAATTTGTCTTATACATATTTTGATTGCATGGAGGATTTGATCATGGAGCTGACATCAGTTAGAGAACCACTGAGAGTACTGGACAGCCGTTTCGTCCTAGTTTGGGACTCTTCATCAGTACGCACCCACCACCACTGGGGTTCGATCCCAGGACCTTCTGGTTACAAGGCTAGTGAGCTCGTAGACCATTATGCCACTGGGACTCGATCCAATGGCCAGCCCATGAATTCTAACTTCTGCCAATTCACAACATAGCGCGACCATTTCCCAATGTCTTCTTCGATGAGTTACTGCCTCATCTTCAATCTGCTGTACCCTACTGGTTCTAGTGGGAAGCCGTGACCAGTAGGATACAGCAGGTTGAAGATGAGGCAGTAACTCATCGAAGAAGACATTGCAAAATGGTCGCGCTATGTCGTGAATTGGCAGAAGTTAGAATTCATGGGCTGGCCATTGGATCGGGTCTCAGTGGCTTTATGGTCTACGAACTGGCTCATCTTGTAACCAGAAGGTCCTGGGTTCGAATCCCAGCGGGTACGTACTGCTGAAGAGTCCCAAACTAGGACAGATGAAACAGCTGTCCAGTACTCCCAGGTTTTTCAGTGGTTCTCTAACTGATGTCAGCTCATGATGAAATCCTCCATGCAATCAAACAAAATCCCTACAAAAGCAATACTTGAAAATTATATATATTTTCTCTCTCTTTCTCCAACTTCCTCATGTTATTTGTTGCCACTTCCCATGTCCACGGTATAGGCATTACGTCATTCCAGTTGCAGGTTTTTAGTGTTGAATCGATAAACAAAAATTCAGTGATTAACCTCTCTCTCTGTCTCCACCTAACTAACTATATTACTTTTTAACACTCTCACTCTGTCCCACCCATCCTATTTTGTGACTAAATGCAAGTGAATGCAATACAATGGCTGGGCTTTTTTCTAGGTTATTTAACTTAGCAGGGATCAATCATTCTAGGTGTCTAGCTAAATTTTGATAATGTTCCAATAATCTAGTTGACCCTGATCTACTAGTTTGACTGGCCTATGTAACTGACCTCACTAACAGGCATCACACAGTATTTGGTAAATTATATTATTTTTCTTATAGCGAAAATATTCATTCAGACATCTATATAACACAAAATAATTGAGCAAAGAATATCCTTTTCGATAAATTCCTCTTCTGGCTCTACAATTATATACGTATATGTTTATATACATGGAATATTCTAGAATAGTAGTCAACAACAATATTGGTGTTTTTTAAATAATATCGATTTGTAAAGTAAGATCACAATGGAATCACAGTTCATTAAAGATGCTTAAACTATAATAATAATAATAATAATAATAATAATAATAATAATAATAATAAAGGTATAGTAGCAAATAGATTATCAACTGAAATTAGGAAAATTCCATCAAAATTCAGGATCATTCAAACGTGGGTGGCCAAGGTAATGATAATGTCTGACCTAGCTTCTTTTGGATGCATAAATTGGGCTTATTAATATGGATCCCAACAGCCAGCCCCAGCAATATTTAGCAGTCGAACTCTTAAGGCGAAATTGAAATCTTACTTTACAAATCGATATTATTTAAAAAACACTGATATTGTTATTGTCTACAAATCTAGAATATTCTATGTATATAAACATACAGATACCTAATTGTAGAGCCAGAAGAGGAAATTATGGAAAAGGATATTCTTTGCTCAATTATTTTGTGTTTTATTTTTCTTAATTGGATCTTTCGGGTCCTTAAGTCGACAAAGTTGATCTCTGAGAGAGTTAGTTGGTTGATTGGTTTAAATACCAACCTAATCTCAGCCTCATTGAGAATCTCAATGAACTTCTTCAGAAATGTATGTGAAAACCCATAGTAAGAAAAAAAGAGAAGATTAGTAATGAAAATGACAAAAAATGATAGAGAATTCAAAGCCTCTGTGGTAGTACTGTTGCATAAAGAAGGAACATACATCAGAGGCTGGAATTAACTAGAATGGTATTTAAACCAACCGATTTCTACAATTACAAGCGAAAACCGACAAACTGGTCGAAGAAGCAGCAAAGACAGGACTCCAGGTGAACATAGACAAGACGGAGGTTATGAAAATAACCAACCAACAACAACAACAGCAGCAACATCCACCGTCAATCACCATCAACGGGAGAGATTTGAAAGAGGCTACTTCATTCACTTATCTAGGGAGCATTGTCTCAACTACAGGAGGAAAGGACGAGGACGTCAAATCGAGAATCAGGAAGGCGAGAAACACATTCACCAACCTGAAACCAACCAGGAAATCTTCGTCACTCAGTCTGCATCAACAACAAAATTCGGATTTTCAATACAAACGTCAAGTCAGTTCCTCTGTGCGGATCAGAAACTTGACGGGTCACAAAGAATATTTCCAACAGCCTGTTGCATACCTTTATCAACAACTGTCTTCACTCTATAATCAAGATCAGATGGCTGGAAAGAATCACCAACAAGAAACTATGGGAACAAACAAAACAAGAACCAATCGCCAAACAAATATGCAGGAGAAAGTGGAGATGGATTGGACACTCGTTGAGGAGGCCACTGGGTGATATCACACGTCGAGCCCTCGAGTGGAACTCGAAAGGGAAGCGGTGAGCTGGACGTCCAAGGGTGACATGGAGGAGATCGTGTGAAAAGGAGTTGACACGGTATGGACTAACATGGATGCAAGTGAAAAGTACAGCAGAAGACAGAAGCAAGTGGAGGCGTGCAGTTGAAGCCCTATGTTCCACTAGGAACCCAAGGGAACAATAATAATAATATAGTCTGATTGATCCATGAGACGTTTATTCTTCGGGAAATAGAGTTATACCAATTCAATCATATCTCATATGCGCACACAATACAATACGATACAACATCATCAACATCAAGACCACTACATGAAACATTAACGAGAGAACTAAACAGTAACCCAACTTGAATGAACAAGGTAACAACTAATAATAAAAGAACAAGTGAAATAGAAAAATATAATATATGTGTGTATTTTTATTGTTTATTAATCTTTTAGATTATTTATTGATTTTGCAAGTGAATAATCTTCAATTATTATCTTGTAATAAACAAAATTATGTACAATGTTATTATCCAAATAACAAGAATGTACAGTAAACTCATAGAGAGAAAAAAATAGACACCACTCCCAGTTGAAAATTAAAAGAGGCGCGCATACATACATACGCACACACGCACTCAGACACGACCCGACACAACACACACCGAGGTTGAATTGAATACAGGCAAAAACTGACACGATAATTCATAATCTCTTTACACTTGTTCATGATTACTTTTCTAATAAATATTTACAATATAATTCCGCATGCTGCATATTTTCGTCTAGTATAAAAGGGATAGTTAATATCTCGCGAAAACCTTCCTGCACAGTTGGCTCCTCATATTTTGATCTGTGTTTTGTAAACAAACGGGATTGGAACGTCAGATGGAGGCATTGGATGGTCGAGGGGCAAGAAGGAAGAGAGAGAAGACAAAATAAAGGTTACGGCAAAAACATAGACAAAGCAGACGTAGAATTAAACAAAATTATTATTTTCTCAGAGAAGAAAGAATCAAATTAACTTGACAAGATCACACAGTGTTCGTTGTACAGTAATATTCACTGATAACGACGTTTCGAGCACAATTTATTACTACTCATAATCATATCAAGGCACTACTGACACAACTTTCCTGCTTCATTTATATACATGAGTAAAAATTGATGATTAGACATTTGAATAAAATAAGTATAATAATATTAAGGACAAACCAACTATAGAAAATTAATCTGATGCTCGCTAGTGACTTGCTACAGGATGGAGTTTCCTGGATTTCTCGTAAGAAGTTATGACTAGTGAGGTCCATCCAGTCACGTGTGAGGATGGATGTCCCACCGACAATATTGGTTGGTGGTCGCGCTAAATAACGAATCGATAGAAGTTGGAATTCATGCACCGGCCATTGAATCGGATCCCAGTGGCTGAATGGTATACGAGCCATCTTGCCTTGTAACCGGAAGGTCCTGGATTCGAACCCTGGCAGCGGGTGCGTACTGCCGATGATTCCCAAACTAGGATGAAACAACTGTTCAGTACTTCAGCTCTGGTTTTCAATGGTTCTCTAACTGATATCAATCTGTGATCAACTCGTAAAATATTAGTGTTATCAATGAAATACAAGAATATGGGTGGCATTCAAACCTACAAACTCACTCAGCCACGACAAGCTCTGTAGGCTAAAGGACGCTGTACGCTGTCCCGATTAAACAAAATAATGTAATTTACAAAGTACCTTGCAATGGCTGTGAATGAGGTCAACAGAATAGGTCAAACTAGTAGATCAGGAGTATTGAGATTATCAGAACATAATAATTTAGTGGCTAAGGTTAGAATGATTGACCCTCACGAAGACTGATGAGTAATTTAGAAAAATACTCAGCACTACATTGCACTGCATGCATTACCACACAACCATACAATAGGGTGGGACGGACAGAGTCAAAATTCTAAAAGATAATATAGGTAGGTGGAGAGTGAGAGAGATCGATTATTGAATCCTGGTTCATCGAGTCTACCTGCACACAACACATGCAATAGAAGTGACTCAATGCAAATACCAGAGATATGGAAGATATTATCACTACCAGTCAAATCAGAGGAGGACAATAAATAATCTTAAAATGTATTTCAGTTCACATTATAACATTCTAACAAGTTATTTATTTATTTTACGATAAAAGCATCTTATTTCCCATCCTATTGAATTTTATTGCTAACACTAATATTATTATTTCCGAATATATTTTATCTTATTATATTGATTTTATTCTAATGTCTAATCATCAATTATTACTCATGTATATAAATGAAGCAAGAAAGTTGTGTGAGTGAGCAGATTGATATGATTATGAGCAGTAATAAATTGTACTCGAAAGGTGGTCATCAGTAAATATTACTGTTCAACACTGTGTGATTTTATCAAAATAAAATTTTATCCATAATGGACTTATACTCTACCACAGTGACCAAGTTTTATACTTGTATCAATAACTTGACAAGAAGCCATGAGAAACACGAGTATGTTTGTATTCAGCATGATTCAACTCTTTGAGTTGAGTCTATATCCCTGTTAAAACCACTGGTCAACTCCACCGACAATAATCGAAACGATCATTGAATGTTTAAATCACTTCGACTTGGTTAGCAAGCACAATGTGGTGGTGACCTGAGTAGTACTCAGATATTTACATCAATCGATAGTTTGTATTTATATATCATCGTGTTATTTTGCTTGATTTCTTGACTGCTATTTCACAGTATCAAGCAAACTATACGAAAGAAAGTGTGGCGAATTTTTACCCTGAACTGTGAGTCAGTCTGTAGAGCTCAGAGTGATGGATGTCATTATACATTTTTGAGTCGAATGACAAAAAAAATGAAACGTTTTGAATATTTTTGTTTTAATCGATGTCTACGTAAATGAACAACACGACTTTTCGCTACTTTGAAATATAAACTCACTTAGATAGTTGGAGGCTATCGGCGGGAAGCCCTGCCTCACCTAGGTTTTGTGTTAGTTTGGCGCTCATCAGCAAGCCGTACCTGCGACCTCGAAGGAACTCATGTCCCTTCTAGGATTCGAACCCGCGTCACTTGGCGATGCAGTCAGTCAGAGGCGTTACCACTGAGCTATTGAGGCTCACAATTGACCTCCAGTAGGACTGTTTTAAATATTTTTGATTGGACACTAATCAGGAATTAGTATAATGTGTCTGGTCCTCTCTCTGGTACAGACTGAATTCCATCAGTCAAGTTTGCAATGTGTCCACCATACTAGGCTAGATGTCACGCCATCACGGTACACTGTAAAGTGTTGGTATTAGATGGTTGGAGGCAATCGGCAGAGAGACACCTAGCAACATTGCAAACTTGACTGATAGAATTCAATCTGCACCAAAGAAAGGATTAGACACATTACACTAGTTACTGACTAGCGTCCAATCAAAAACATAAACTCATTTAGTTGTTGCTGAGTCTTCTTACTCTCTATAATTGCTTGTGTGTGTGTGTGTGTGTGTGTCAATATTAATTCCTTGCTGCTGTGCTTACTTTTGAATTTGCAGGAATCGCCATATCTTCATCCAAAGTGTATTCACAATCACTTTTGTCGTATCGCTGGATTATATAATTTAAATTGTGGAAGTTGAGACTTAAAAATTGTAATGTACTGTTCGAATATCGTTTGAATATCGAAAAGAAACCAAATTAGTAGCTGCTTTTTAAAGTCAACCTCGTTGGTGTGGTAAAACTTTGGGACGAAAGTCTTCTGGTTAGTAGGTAACCGAAGAAACAACATGATAAAACACACCATTGAATCGTATTGTTGGTAGACTTCATACAAGCAGTCTAGGTCTTTCTTTAGGAGGAGGATCAAACAGCTACTGAAAACTCCTACATCTTTTCCAACCTAAAATTTCTTTTTTACATTAACCTGAGTTTCGAAGGGGAGTTTCCAAGTGACGCTGCTAGGAGTGGTGTTGCTTTCACTGGATGCAGTTGCTAGCCTTCTACCCAATCTTTCCTTTTTTCCCATCCTCCTGGCACCATAGGAGTTCGTCGACCGAGAATCAGACCCGGACCTTCCGTGTGAATAGACAGCACTCTTCTGCTGAGTCATTACTTCAGCTAACCTAGTGTAACACGCGGCTTAGCCACTTTGTTCAATAGAGCTTCCTTTCAGCTCTAACTCACCCTATGCCAAACTTTGCTACTACTTATGGGTGAAAAACTAAACATTTGGGGCAGGTACTACATCTGCCGATATGCTAACCAAGACTATTTTAGAAAAAAAAATTACTAAGCATTACATTTCGGCAAATAGTGCTAACCACGTTAGGCCTTCTCTCTACTCATTCTGGATTAATCAACTATTATCATTTCGTTACTTTACATTCCCAGTGGAACATATTGGACTTCAAGCTTGAGCTCTGAAGTTACAGTGTCTGTGGTGTTTCTCTTTCACGAGATGAAGTTGCTAGCCTCATGTGCAACCACCTTCCCTCTTCATCACGCTTACTAAGCGATTATAGCGAGTTATAGGGGTTTTTCAACCAAGGATCGAACTCCGGACCATGTGAGGTGTGGTGGTTGGCTCTAATTCTACCACTGAACACCACCACCGACGCAGTCTAGTTCGATTAGGAGTGAGAAAAAATTAGCAGGATACACCGGAAAGTAAACAAAGTATGAAAATAAAGGAGCATTTCAACTATTACAATAATTCGCTTTATTCCAAAACAGTACTTGTGATACAGAATGGAATTCTCAGCATTTCTACTACAGTATTGCATCCAGTTAGTACATTATCAATAAATAGAATTCTACATAGAATAAGGAAATCTCAGTTTATTATGACAACAACATATTGGGATGTCGGTAGCAAAGCCAAAATTGAACAGTGTTTGAAGGTGTTAGAAAAGTAGGTGCTATCATATTTACTGGCATAAGCGAGAGAAAGAAACAAAGCAGCACATAACGGAAAAAGAAGAGATAGAGAGAAAAGGAAAAGAAAGAAAGAAAATGTTGTACCTATAAATGATATGAGTTGGAAAGACGAGATCCAGTTGTTCTACTGACTTTAATAATTTATAGGTATCGCACCTAATGCTTTCTTTATCGCACAGAACACGAGCTAAATAGGGTATGATTGAGTTTTTGTACTTGCTAGTGCGAGCATATAGTTTTCTATATAGGCTTCTGGTTTTGCCTGGTGAGATGCAAGGGGTGAGTTGTGAGTGAAAAGGGTGGTGTGAGTTAGATAAAATGGATTTGGCCCATTTTTCACATGAGTCCATGTGCCTGTCGACCAGAATATTAACAAGCTGGTTAAGTGGCACGTTGCTTACCTTGCTAACAACCTTTAACACCCTACGTAATAAGATATAGTTCTTCTTCAGTAGCCCTAAAAAAACTAAGGAGGGACAATAGAGAATAATAGGCAGAATGCGAGAGTTAACGAATTGTAGGAGTTAGGGTTAGGTTATTCCAGAATGTCTTAACTTCTTGATGCAGAAGGTAAGACGGGATATTTTATTAGAAATCATCAAGATATGAGACGACCAGGAGAGACCATCAGATAGAATGACGCCTAGGTATTTATTGTCCGACTTGGTTTCTATTTCAGTGGCATCTATGTTGCACACCTCGTGAGAGCTAACCAGTTTGTTTAGGTCAGATTTATGCCTAAAGGTGAAATTGACTGCTTGACATTTAGAGGGTTTTTAGGTAAGACCGTTTTCCTTGAACCACTGGCTGATTTCTGATAGAAAGCCATTTAGTTTAGAGCAGTCACTTTGACATTTGACAGGTAAAGATACAGACAGATCGTCAGAATATTTGACAAAATTAATGTCATTTGAAGATGGTAAGTCATGTAGAAAGAAAGAAAAGAGAAGTGGGGAGAGTACGGCACCTTGGGGGACACCAGCTTCAGTGAGCATAGCAGAGGAGGATTTGCCTTTGTATACGGTGTACTGCATTCTGTTAGAGAAGTAGGAATGCAACCAGTTAGTGACCCAGCACTCAGTTTGTGTCATAGAGAATACCGACTAACATGAAAGCGACTCCTGAAGAGGAGTCAGAGGACTATATGTATATATATATATATATAAAGTATGATGAACTTACTTCATCATATTGAATACCATACTACTGATTGGTTTATGGGATGGATTTGTCAGTGTACGAAACTACAGAGAGAATAACAATCGGAAAAGTTACAACAACAACAGCAACAAACAAGTAAACATGACTGAGAATGATTACAACAATACATGTGAAATATAATCACAACTGAAAATATTATGTAGATTTCAAAAAAGGTTTTCAAAATGAAGAACTTTTGTCAAACTATTCAGTAATGTCAACTAAATACCGTATGCAGGATGGAGTTTATGTGTCACCCAGTCACCTAATCAGAACCTCGAAGTCCTAAGCGGTTGAGCTAAATATATATATCGCGAATTGGCAGAATTTAGAATTCATGGGCCATTGTACTCTATCCCAGTGGTTGAATGGTCTACGAGTTCGCCTTGTATTCGAGGGATGCTGGGTTCGAACCCTAGTAGAGTGGGTGCGTACTGATGAGGAGTCCCAAACTACTATTATTATTATCATTCCGTTTGGTTCTGAGTGGAACATAGGGCTGGCTTCAACAACACATCTCCACTTTGTTCTATTCTCTGCTGTAGTTTTCATCTGGGTGCACGATTGACCACAATCACTCATCTCCTCCTCTCCACACGATCTCCTCCATGTCACTGTCACACCAACGACCCACTCGTCGCTTCCCATTGGGATTCCACTCGAGGACCTGATGCGCTTCCTTTATTATTCTATCTTATGTATGTAGAGAAAAAATAACAAAGTTATCTATTTATATATGTGACGTACAGTCGAAATATCGACCCCACCGAATCGATCACAAATAAGAATGAATATAATTTCAAATCACACCCGTTGTACACCAATGAAGTGGAACTTTTGGCTCAACAAACAATGCTTTCAGGTTTGAAGGGATGGTTGTAATATCCTAAATTTCAGAGTAGGCACATCAAGATAACTAGTCCAAACCAGGGCGAATTCTCTACATCCTGAATTCTACTGTAGGCAACCATTTAACTAATAAGAAGTAAACTCAGCTATTCCCCTTTAAACTTCATGAATAAGTAATAAGTCGACAGAATAGACTTACTCTTTCATTATGTTGAGCATGTTCAAACGATGTTTCCATGAGAAAACAACGCACTGGAATTTCCCATATTTTAGCTATTCTAATATAACGTGATCTTGATTCCACATCCATATTTGTATTGTCGACTACAACAGATAATTTCTTGGCTATAGCTTGTTCAGTAGCCTGAACACACTTTTGCCATGTTCCAAGGGCATCCTTTGTAAAAATAGAAAAAATAAAGAAATAACAGGAAAGAAAACAAACAAAAGTAAGTGCATAAAAGACTTCCTGAAACTGAATAATAAACATTCGTGGTGGAGTAGAGTAGAATGCTCTCCAGTAGCGTGGGAGGTCTAGGTGAGAGGTCTGCTCAACGCACTCCCAAACGCTGGTTAGTTTACTAGTGGATAGAAAACCCAAAAAAGAAAGAGGGTTGGGCAGGAGGCCAGCAACCAACCTAGTAAAAACAAAACCGCTACTGAAACTCTATTCGAAACGCAAGAAACAAAAATATAAGTGTTTGATTCAAATGAACTGTCGTCAAGATTTGACAGATTAGTTATAAAATATTTGGGCACCGAGTGAGAAGTAGACATTTGTAAAAAGTTATGTATACATAAAATCTCAGCGAGATTGAAATGAGTAATTCCAACGTTTCGTTCGTCAATCTGGTCCGAACTTTTTCAGCGAAATTAATCGAAATTAACATAACAGCAGAGGTTTATATATATATATATATATATATATATATATATAAAAGGAACATCTCTTGTTTTTAAAAACTTTGTCCAATCATGAGTCATGAAACAGGTATCAACATGTATAATAAACAAAATTGTATGAGCTGTGATCAAAATTTGACCTCGGACTTACAAATATTGGTCTACTTTTGTTAAACACTTTAAACAGAGTGTGCATGTGTGTGTGGGTAAACAGTTGTAAAACATTTCTTAACGTTTCCATAAGAAGATATGGACAGTCGAGAATTTTGACCATTCAAGGGTGATCAGATTATGCAGTTGACAGCTCAAAGACTCCGGTCAGCCATCAAACGCACATTCTACGCCGCATCTCTTTTCCTCACTTGCCGAACATTTTCAATCCCTGTACCTACGATTAAAGGACGAAATTCTGTGGACTCTACTTCAAACTGTATCTACTAGTTCACCTGCAGCTGCGGTGACACCTATATAGGTAGAACCAACAGAATGTTCCAATGTCGTCGGAAAGAACATGTTCCAAAATGGCTACTAAATCACATAGAAAATCCCAATGCCAGTAATCTGAATAGAAATCCAGCATCATCCATTGCAAAACACTTATTAATGTCAGGTCACAAAATAAATATTAACGACTGTTTCACAATTATTTCACATAACTCTAATTCAAGGTTATTGAAGGTGATGGAAGCACTTTGGGGGATTATTCACATACAGCCTAAACTGCGCGTACAAAAATCAATAGACTTCAATCTTCGCCTACCCTGGACTACTTGACCTATCTAAATATGATTGGTCCTTGGTATGTACTTTTGTGTTTTTATTTAACTGAGTAATTGTCATGAACTTTATTTTATTATTGTTAACCATGTTAGTTGTAAAGCGGTTGTAAAGAAACTACGAAATGATATCATCTCGCGAAATTTGTCTTCTTAATGCCTTATTCAAGTATTATTAATTAATTAGTGATACGTATCCATTTTTATTTATTAATCGGGATTTGCTATGTATCAGCTAACATCCCACCTTCATGTCTGCTCAAACTGTTAGTATCTAGAATTTTATGATTAGACGTATTTTTAAAAATTATGGTTTTTAGGATTAGAGTTTAGTTTAAGCACCCTGTCGAACTTATTGCTTTGTCTTCTTTCTGAAGATTGAGCTGCTTTATTCCACCTACTGGAGTTGTCAGATGACTCGACAGATACGGATTTAGGATATGCATTATTCTGTTACAGACAACGAAGAGTGAAAACACGATGATTGTGCCAATCACCTGGTTTCTTTGTTAATTTAATTCGATTGCAGAATAATTCAAATGAACTGTTGTCAAGATTTGACAGAACAGGTCTAAAATATTTGGGCGCCAAGTGAGAAGTAGACATTATGACTCATGATTGGACAAAGTTTTTACAAAAACAAGAGATGTTCCTTTTATATATAAACCTCTGCTGTTATGTTAATTTTGATAAATTTCCCTGAAAAAGTTCAGACCAGATTGTCGAACGAAACGTTGGAATTACTCATTTCAATCTCGCTGAGATTTTACAAATATAATTTTTTACAAATGTTTACTTCTCACTCGGCGCCCAAATATTTTAGAACTAATCTGTCAAATCTTGACGACAGTTCATTTGAATTATTTATGCTTACGTTTAGATGTTTCAACTAACTTTGTAATTATTATACGTTTTCCCGACCCCCTACACTATGTATGATGATGAGCATAATCAGGATGACTAGGGATGAAAAAACAAATAGAATAGAACTATTGGTCTGGAGATTAACTAATAAAAACAAAAGAGACTGAGGCACTGACTTCCTTCCATGTTTAAATTTCTGGTCAATTATATTAAAGTTAGTTACGAAAGATAAGCCTGCTCAAGGTAATTTGAACAAGTAGAGATTTTATTACTTTGAGGTTAGATATCATCATGATCCAGTATCGGTTAGACAACCACTGGAAGCCAAAGAGTACTGGATAGCTGTTTCGTCCTAGTTTGGGACTCCTCACCAGCACGTGCCCTTGAATGTAACAGGGATAGGTTTCCTGGGAGTTACCATGAGAAAATGAAACCTATTAGCTCCGACAAATAGGATAATAGTAAAAACACTCGCTGATAACATTGGTGGGGCTGGTGATGCTATATATCGCCTGTCAGAGGAAGTTTGAATTCTTGATTCACTGCATAGTGACGTGCTCACCTCGTAACTTGAGTTCGACCCAAGTTGGGTGCAGGTGGTTTGAGCTAATTAGGCTCTGAGCTGAGTCAAATCGAGTACACCGCTGAAGAGCTCGGTCCCCAACAAGCGAAACCGCCGTCTGGTGTTATAAGATTGTTTTGAAATATTCACAGTGTGTTTAGAAAATCAAAACAAGATGTTTTTGCCTAATGTATCGTTGTATAAATCACAGCTTCTTCAGGAGAATCCCTAAGATTTCCTTAATAAAACAAACACATCAGGAAAATTTTTCAAAAACAATTTCATAATGACTCAAACAGATTGTATGCATAAATTGTTCCAGGATAGGCGTTAACAACTATGCTCTGGACATTCTTGTAATCAACGAGGTAAATTTGAAATTATATTTTGCAGGTATTTCTTTTTAAAACCTCGGAATTTACTCTTGTTGTATTCACAAAAAGTAGTTGCAGTGAAATAATATTCTCAGTTAATTGGTAACTGACTGACTGACTGACTGGTTTCAACATAGAACTTTGCACCGATGTGCAGAAGTTCGAGTCGCCACACTTCACTCAGCACACAAAGAAAGTAAAAAGAAATGCAAAACAGAGACAGTAAACAGGGATATGAGGCAAAAAGAATAGTAATATCGAAGAACATTTGAGTTTTATTGGATAAGTCACAAGGAGTGGATGCATCTGCGCCAGCCATTGAGAACGATCACTTTGAGCCATATCACCAATTGTCTCCAGCCTTCATTGGTTTTTACCGTCCCGAGAACCCCAACCAGTCAGGAAGTCTACACCTTCCTACGTGACTGGCTTAAACTAACTGTTGTGGATTTCATTGACTGACTGATGAAGCCATGTTTTGGTTTGACCACGACTGGCTCTTTTCTTACCTGATCCTATGTCAGCTAATATTGATGATAGTAGGCGTGTGTGTTACTGACATATTTATAAGTAGTATATTCTGCACTTGAAGAAAGAACTTCAAATAAATATAAGAGAAGATAGAAGTGATGAAGAATACTAACCAACAACAACAACAACAAGCATCATTCACTATCAACAGGAAACATTTGAGGGAAGTCGGTTGTTTCACTTATATAGGGTAGCGTCGTTTTAACTACAGGCAGTCAGCACGGATGAAGACGTCAAAGACAGGATAGGAAAGGCAAGACAGATCTTCATAAATAACTCTGAAATCAGTGTCGAAAAATCTACTGCGATAACCATAAACAACAAGATTCGAATTTTCAACACTATTGTCAAGTCAGTCGGTTTGTCTATATGGTTCAGGGACTCGACGTCTCACGAAAAGCATTTCCAACAGACCGCTGCAGACTTTTATCAACAGTCACCTTCTCTCTGTATTGAAGATAAGATAACCAGAAAGGATTAGGAACAAGAAACTTTGAGAACGAACCAACCAATAACCGATTGCCCAACAAATTATACCGAAGGAAATGTATTGGACACACGCTGGGGAAACCGTTGAGTGACATCGCACACTAGGCATAACCTCAAGTGGAACCCGAATGGGAAAGGACGAGATTGGCGCTTCTGAGGGTCACATAGAGGAGATCATGTGACGAAGAAGAAATGACAGCTTATGATTAATCGTGGAGCCAGTGAAAGAAGACTGCGGAGAATGGAGTGAAATGCAGATGCCTCATATTCCATTGGGAACCTATGGGAATACTACTACTACTAATAATAATAATAATAGCAATAATGTGGAGTATCTTCTGCAAGAATTTCAAATAGTAAGGAGACAAATTAAGCTGCAAAGAGGCGAAAAGGTCTCCCCTCTTGTGAGACAATAAAGAAAGTATGAAATGAAGTTGTAAGGATATTAATATGTGTAAAACTTGGGCACTGCGGTAGTAAGTAATTCTATATTAGTTTGTTTATTAGATGTATCACACAATCAGTGAAACAGTATTATTTGCTGGATGACAAGGTTTCGAACAAAGTTTGTGACTAAGAACTCGAATTTAGGACGAAAGTGCCACTTGAGGACATAATGCTTGAAGTGCAGCTAAGCATGACTTCCACAGTATTTAAATTCCAAGGGAAAATATGCAAACAAACTGAGGGAGTTGCCATGAGGTCACCAATATCCCCGGTTGTGGCAGATTTATTCATGGATAGGTGGGAAAATATAGCGGTTGAAACGTTCAGCCCCACCCCAAAGGCATGGTGGAGGTATGTAGATGACACATTCACTGTACTTAGAACACAGGATATAGATAGATTTTTCGAACACAATAACTCAAAGGTGGAGGCAATTCAATTCACTTATGAA